CTCTTGCTTCCAGCGCTCGTCGATGCATCGCTTCTGCCTCCTCGTACTTGCCCTGGCTCTCTAGCACTGACCCAAGGTTATCGACGCTGGTGAGCGTGTCGGGGTGCTCGCTACCCAGTACTCTCCTCCTCGACTCCATCACTTGCATATAGAGCTCTTCAGCTCTCTTGTATTGTCCATCACTCTGCAGAGCCCTAGCGCAATCTTCTGCAAGATTTGTTCTCTCCTCGTTATTATTCTTTTCACTATGTGACAGTGCATATTGAGCGTGTGGTAGTAGTCGCCTCCATTTGCTTCTGTTACTGTGATCATTGTTTGGAAACACCTGGAGCAGCTGCGTGACTGTCCGCTGAGTGTATTCGTGAAGCCGTCCCTGCATCTGCAGCTGCTTTCGTAAGGCTTGGTGCACCAATCGATGCACGTCAAATGCTGACTCAGCAGGTCGTCTTGTGATGAGCGCATACCTGTCGAGTATCATGATCGTATCTATACGGGCCTGCGGCGAAGCTGCCTTAAGTAGATCGAGCGGAATGTCCTTTCGGTCTACGCACGCAGTAACGTAAAGCTGCTCTACAGCAATGGCGTTGCTCTGCCAGACTTGACCTATAGAAAGAGATAGTGTAGCAGCTACAGCCTTTCTCAGACTAGACTCTCCCTGCTCGCTTTCACGCAAGTCATTGCTATGCTTAAGAGCTGCTTGGTCGTGGTCGTGGTCGTGTAGTCGTGCTTGGTACTGCTGCACTGTCATATTGCTTGCGTTCATGCACGCTGCCGCTTGCGACACTGCTAGAGGCAGGTGTGATAGCTCTCTTAGCAAGCGTATGGCTGCAGGCTGCTCAGCATTAGAGAGCGGCGTTGTCAAACGGGATTGCAACATCCTTAGCGCCATGCCAGACGTCAGTTCATGCAGCGCTACCACATCTTGTGGAGCAAGCGTCTTAGCCGTGTCGCTCTCTGTTGTCGTGAAAATGACAGAACAGAGCTTAGAGTGCGGCAGAAAGTTGGCTAAGTTTGCAGCTTCTGCCGTTGACGAGCCATCATGCTGGACAGTTGTGCCTTCGACGTTGTCGAAGATCAGTAAACACTGCCGCGTACTTAGCTTTGCTATGCAACGTTTCACGATCTGCTCTATGTCTGCCTGGTCACCGTCACAACCAGGAACGCCAAGCTTCTGTGCAACACTAGTATACGACTGGTCGAGACTGTCTTTGTCACTCGCATCGATCCAGAAGACCGAGCAGTGCTTGTGTTTCTTTAGTGTTCTGTGTGCGACCTCGAGCGCGAGCTGCGATTTACCTGTTCCGCCAGGCCCGACTATTGCAAGCGTCGAGGTAGTCTGTATGTTGCTGAAGAGCTTCGCTTCCAGTTCAGCGAGCTGTAGTTCGCGACCCACAAAAGACTTGTTGCGCGCGAACGGAATGATCGACGGTGCGCGGCCGGCTCCCTCCACTTCAGCCTGCAGTCTTTCCAACGCACTCTCCCTTCCTTCGCCATAGGTTGCAGGCATAGAGACGCCAAGAAGTCCAAGCAGGCAGTATACCATATCTTCTGTCTCGGTCGTTTCGCGACCGCTAACCCATCGTATGCGCTCATCTATAGTAAACTGGTTGAGGGGACAGTTGCGCAGCGCTGCAAGCGGAATGCTGGTGATGCTGTGCAGTAGTTGGTCGAGAGAGGTTTTGTCGCCTATGCGCTGCCCTTCGCACGAGAAGAACTCCACAGATGCTGGCGCTATCAGCTCCTGCAACGTCCATCCGCGAGTGAACCACTTGCTTCGCCGAAGCGATACATTCCAATCCCTGCATAAGATAGATCCTGTCGAGGTTGAGGTCGATGCTGACACATCCGATAAGAAAACGTAGCATCGTAGCGCATTCTTGTACCACTGGAACATCGAGTTGATCGCCTTAGAGCGCTCGTTGTTGTTCCATCTGTCGATACAGCATGTGTCAATCCAGAAGTACTGTAGCCCGTCCTGAGCTGCTTGTTCGGCGCAGAACCGTAGCTTTCGGTAGCCTTCTTCTTTCTCTTTGTAGTTTCTATTCGATATATCTTCGATAAGGATCTCAGAATCGCCCCATCGGTGTGATAGAATAGCGTAGGGCGGGATCCGCTTGCCGCGAAAGTCTGTCAAAATCAGGCTGCCTAGTACGTCGAAATGGAGAAGCCGCATAACGCTTGCAGCTCAGACTTCAGTCTAAAGAATTAGAGGCCTAAACGACTTTTATGGTAGATTAGTGAGAGTAGAATGTTAGTGGGAGTAGAATGGCATCTTTGCGATAAGGCAGAGAAGGCAGCCTGGTGAGGCAGTGCATACAACCAGGCTGAAGGTGCTGCTGGCTGCATCAAGCGCCCAGCCTCCTGCACTGCTTCCCCTCGCTATTTACGCTAAGGCAGTGTTTGCCTTGCAAAATTATGTCAGAAGAGTACACATGTAGGTAAGATGCTAGCAAACATAGCTAACTAATCTACAAAGGTTATCGTTATAGCGTCTTGCCTGGCTCTGTGCGATGGGGGCGGCTGCTTACTGGCCCAGGAATAAGAGCTGTCTAAGGTCGGGCGATGAGTGAGAGCTGCAGCTCTCAGCCACAGCGCGTAACCCTTCGCAGATATCTCAGCACGCTACCGCTGCTAAATGCCACTAAAGTCGCACGGCCGGCTCGTCGCGTTTTGACGATGATGTCGCCAGCGCGGAGAAACTGCCGGAATGCACACTCCTCACGTTAAGTAGACTCTTTGAGTGTGCAGTCTTGATCTTTGCTATCTTGGCTTTCTTTCTAGCCCACCGAGCTGTGTAGAAGTTTATACTGCCGCGAATAAACAAGGGGGTATTAGAGGAGAGTCGATGGATGGCACTGACAGAACGAGCGACAGTATGGTCAACAACACGCTTTTCGGCGTCGGAGGGTGATACACTGGAAGCGCAAGAGCTGTAAAATAGATGTGCATTGTGTTTGTTTATTTTTGAGTAACGTGTTTTACAAGCGAGTCGCGCATACAAGCGAGTCGCGCACCCCACTAACTTCGCGCACCTCTCTTACTATAACGTGCAATTGCTCAACGCAACACAACTCAATTATCTTTAAATGAAGCAGATATTCAGCTTGCTATCTCAGCTATCTCAGCTAGTCAAATTGAGACTAATCGACGCGCTGCTGCTGTCTATCAAGTTCCTGAATCTACCCTCCGTGACCGACGTGCTGGCAGGCCTGCCCGACGCGATTGCCAGCCCAACTCAAAGAAGCTTACCAAGCTAGAAGAGCAAGTGATACTTGATCATATACTTGATCTAGATCTACGTGGATTTTCGCCTACCTACGCAGCTGTGCGCGATATGGCTGACAGACTCCTGGCTGCGTGTGGCGCTGGCCAGGTTGGCGTCCACTGGCCGCGCAACTTTGTCAAGCGTACAGATAGTCTTACGACGCGTTTCAATCGAGCGTACGATAGGCAGAGAGCTCTATGTGAAGATCCAGCCCTAATCAAGAGCTGGTTTGAGCTTGTAGAGCAGACAAAGGCTAAGTATAGCATCTGTGACGAGGACGTCTACAACTTTGACGAAGCCGGCTTTTCAATAGGCAAGATCACGACTCAGCTTGTCGTTACAGCGTTAGAGAGAAGAGCCCGGCCAAAGGCTATCCAGCCAGGTGGTCGCGAGTGGGTGACGTTTATCGCTGGGATTAACGCAGCTGGCTGGTCTATCCCACCGTTTCTAATCTTTACTGGCAAGTATCACCTATCTGCCTGGTACGAGGAGGCAGAGATCCCACGCGACTGGGCGATCGCAGTCAGTGACAACGGCTGGACGACCAACGAGCTAGGAGTTGAGTGGCTAAAGCACTTTGTTAAGCATACAGATGGCAAGGTTGTTGGGGCACGCCGGCTGCTTATTCTTGACGGCCATGAGAGCCACTAGTCACTTGAGTTCTAAGAGCTCTGTAAGGAGAACAATATCTATACGCTCTGTATGCCGCCCCACTCCTCTCACCTACTCTAGCCTCTTGACGTTGGCTGTTTCTCACCGTTGAAGCGCGCGTACAGCCATGAGGTGGAGAGCCTGATACGCAACCACATCAACCATATCACCAAGCTAGAGTTCCTGCTAGCGTTCAAGGCAGCCTTTGATCGATCCTTTACGGCAGTCAATATCTGCTCAGCTTTTCGAGGCGCAGGCATTGTGCCTCTCCAGCCAGACGCTGTTCTGTCAAAGCTTGACGTGCAGCTGCGTACGCCTACTCCTCCAGCTGCTCTAGCAGAGGCTCTCTGGCAGGCTCGTACGCCTAGCAATACACGCGAGCTTAAAGCCCAATCGACGTTAATACGTAATCGCGTCCAGCGGCATCAAGACTCTTCACCTACCTCAATTATCGCGGCAATTGACCAGCTTAAGAAGGGGGCAGAGATAATAATGCTCTCGGCTGAGCTAATGCGCGACCGGATCGCCAGCCTTGAGAGAGCTAATATAGTAGTATCAGAGCGGAGGCGGCGTAAGAAAAAGCGGATACAGAAGCGTGGAGTCCTTACAAAGGGAGCTGGAGAGGATATACTTGCTCAACGTGAGGCTGATGAGCAAATTACTCGTGAGGAGCGTCAGGGAGGAGAGCGATCAGGTGTCAGCCGCCAGGCTCTAGCGCGCTGTAGTAGGTGTAGGGAGACTGGCCATAATTCACGCACATGTAAGAAAGATACTCTAGATAGTACTTAATCTACTATCTTAATATCTATCAAGATTATCTATATATGGTAGAGCTACACGCTTGTAAAGGTGCGCGAAGTTAGTGGGGTGCGCGACTCGCTTGTATGCGCGACTCGCTTGTAAAACACGTTACGTTACACGCAACCCGAGCATCCGGAAGAAAAGGTGTCCCGTCACACCGTGCGTCCCGGCACGGAGGGACGGACGTTAGATTCTATTAGTTGTTATTAGTCGTTTAATTAACATATCTAGAGATTGTTGGGTAATACATGGTCAACTGTTTAGTAGTATTTATCACTAAGTTAGTTAATTAATTTCACTTTCTAATATCTATTCAATCTGCAACAGTAACGCTCTATAGTAACTACTTAGAGGGGTTTAAACTATTCTAATTAGAGAGTTCTGCTAAACCATAATAGATAGAAAAATTTAAAAACAGTTCACTTAGATTTTTACTAACAAAAATATATTAGGATGTTACCTTTTAATAAATACATATTAGAATTTGTTCGTCTAGTTATTTCAAAAAGTATTGTTACCGCAAAGGCCTAACTGGGGTCCAACACAGCTTTCATTAGCAACTGTTGCCGGAGGCAGTAGCTTGCAATGACCTGCGTGAGATGGGGACTGTAGAGAAAAGACAGTACAATCTTCAATCAGGCCCGATGAACTTGTGCAACCTCCAATTGCTTGCTGCAATGCAGCTATGTTCCAACCATTCTGAAAGTCCCCATGGTAGCTAGAACCTAGGATAGAATAAGTTAGGGTTTTATCAACAAACACCTCTTCGTACCTGCTTGGTCACCATTACTAAGTAGGAATTGCCCAGAGGCGTTACGGAAGACAGAGGTGTCCCAAATCGTTTCGAAAAATAGAGCTGGAATTCGAGTCTCGTAATCTGGAGGACATGTACCTTCCATAACAAGATCTGGATAGGCTACATGAGACTTGTGGTCGTTAGCATCAAGAGAAATGCCATCCCAACATGATGGAAACATTAGCTCGAGGCGAAGGCCATCGGCGCAGTTTGAATCAATGAATGACTTATTTGGAAGTAAGTGTCGACTTAAAGCCCCTTCAGCAGCACCACTATAATTTAGGCAATTAAATCCAATGGCCTTTTCCGCCAGTGATTTTGGTGTTTTCTCTTCTGGACCCCACAGAGATTGTGGTATGTCTGGAGGTGGAACAAAGACATTTTTTCTACTAGCATCACCTGCAATCATTCTAAATCCTGGTGGAAATGCCATAATTTTATCTCCAAAAAGAAAGTAATAACTGAAGCCTTCTTAGTATTAGCTATGAAGTATATACTGAATACTCACATAAGCATTCCACCAATCTGTGGAACAATCTCTACAATACCGTTTGTGTGCGAAAACATGAGTGGTGGCGTCCAGTAAGCAGACATGTCTTGAAGGACCGCACATGTCGTGCAATTAGAGTGGACAAGGCTATCATAGGATGACGAGAAACTCAAGTCTTGGTTAAAGATTAGCAATTGGAACTGCACTCTTATGCTCGACCTACTCTGTGCCCCATGAAGCGTGTGTGCATGTTGGGAAGGGAGCCCTTCCGAGACGATTGGATCAATTCGAAAAACTCCTAGTCGCGAGTAGCAAGGAAGCCGCCAAAACGCTCTACTGGTCGATACAAGCACGTTAAGTAGTATAGTATAGCGGATGTTCATACTGTGGGGCTGTTTCAATTGATAGAAGGCTTAACTATTTATCTAAAAGGGTTATACTACTCAACACGGACGCCTTAATATAAGTGTTTTTGATACTATCTGGAAGTGATGACTATCTTTTAAGCTCCTATCTAAGAATTTGCACTCTTCCACTTTGCGAACTGCGCAGGGTAAAGGGTCTGCTGTTGTTCAGTCAAGTTTGCATACGTAGAATCTTCTGGTAAATCAAAGAGTTCTAAGAAGTCTTTGTGAAACTGATCCCTCGGTGACATTCCTAGTTCTGTTTTGATAGGGGTCTGCTCCTGTTGTGACTTTACTAGAGGTGTAGGCTGACGGTGTAGGACTGGAGGCTTCATAGGCGTTGGGCGTACCAATGGTTCAGTGGTAGTAACCGGCTGCTTAGTCCGGCGGGACACCGCTTTTCTCTCGTATATCAGCTTACTGAGGGGCTCAGGTCTGCCTGTAATATGGCTCATCCACCTTTCTTCAAACTTATTTTCAAGGTCAACAGCAATGTTATATAGAGCGATGGATTTTTCCCGGTCGTCGATTCCGTCCATGACGAGTTTGATCGTTGTCCTAGTTTCGTGACTCCAGCCGGATTTATTTTTAAGATTATATTCTGAATAGAGTTTAGGTTCAAGCCAAATAAAACAGCGGGTGTGTGGTCGTCTTTCTTTGAAGTCGGGCGCTAGTACCTCAACCTCAGCTTCGTGTCCAACGCCCCTTTTAGAGTCCCAGTACACTACTAGAACCTGAACCTTGCTAAGTATATTCATTGGAAGCGCTGTTTTGTTATCTCTATGATGTTGCACAATCTTCTCAACGATGCGATCGCTACCTTGGGTAACGTCTCTTTCTTGGTTATAGTCAGACGCATTTGGAAGAATTGATTCAAAACGAGCGCTTAGACCCTTCTCGGATCCATATCGAACACAGTAGCGAGTCCGAGAACTTTTCATGATATGGCCGAACACTTCTTTGGGTAGATGCTGCATTGAAGACTCTCCACGAGAGTCATTGACATCGATGTCCCATTTCATATTGAGATTATCAATAAGCTCTTTTTTCATTTCACCATATTCTTTTGACTGTTGTTGATCGCCTGCATATGTCTTCTTAGGGTCTAGCGCGTGAGTTGCTACATCTGGCTGGGTAGCAACTGGATTAGTGGCTGATGTTTCCTTCTTAGCCATTTGCTCAGCGTCATCTAGGTTCATTGGTTCAGTAGATCCAGGTATAGGTCCTTTTTTGACATTCACTTGGGATGCGGCACTAGTGTACTTCTGCAATTGTGTTTCGACCGCATTCTGTCTTGCCTGCTGTTCTTCAGTATACATGCCCTGGTATACCTTATTGTCTAAGTCGTCTTTTTCTTCTTCGAGCTTTGTAAGTATAGCCTCATGCTGCTCTAATGCACTCGCTTTTGCAGTGCTTTTATCGCTTTTGCTGTGAGTTTTCTCAATCTTAGAGCTACCACGAGTAGCCATGTTTGTGAATAATAGCTTTAGGTTGAAGTGTTTTGTGACATCTGGACACTTCTTTATATACTACGGGGAGATATTAGCAGAAGGATAATAAAATGATGCTATTATATTATTGCACTGCAGTGCTTTCGAGCATGATATACCTATTTGCGGGATATCTAGCTACATTGGTTAAACGGGATATTTATGCCTCTTAGAATGAAACAATGACAATACCGTGTGCCCAAGGAACCTGCCCCACTGAAGTGAATGTACTATCCAACTTTCCACTCCCTATCATCATACAGTATTGAAAGCGCAGACAATCAAAGAACGTAGCCATAGCGATAGGCTAGCTGTAGATAAATAAATAGATAAAACAGTGCCTTGGCACATGTGATTTGCTCATATCGATCTTTTAACTTTTTTGGTCCTAGTAATACTAAAGAATTGTGCGTAGCTCGTGCCGCGTTACTGCTTGCATGGCGATTCTATCGCGAGCAAGCCCAACGATTGGAGCGAGGCGGTGTTAACACCATTGGCAAAGAGCATTTTACCTACCTCTACAAGCCTGCCAGAGAGCGAGCGTTCACAGCGAAGAACATCAAAGCTAGGTTTGCTGTAAGTAGTTTGTTCCTGTTCAATCCAGATCCAGTGCTGAGGAGTGTGCCGAAACCTTTAGCTAAAGTAACTCCCGTGGTAACCAATGAAGCACCTCGTCAGGAAGATGTAGTGCTGCAAACACCTATAACACTAGTATCAGCGGACGGTCTTATTTTGCTACAACATCTCATTCTCAAAAAGGAGGCTCATGCTCTTAATAAGACAACTAAACAGAATTTGCAGCGACACTTACTAAAAGTCGCGAAAGCTACCTAGTTATCTTTAACTAGGAGCGCTCTCTAGCATAACCACATTCAATTATTTATGGCAGATAATAACGAAGCTGAGTCCCGACAGTCAATTAGGGCCGACGTACTAGAGAAGAGATCTGAGCAGGTATTCAGCTATGAGCCTCTCAAAACAAACAGCTAAGGCGAGCAGAAGAAGCCGCAGCTAAAGAAGCTAAGGCTAAAGCTAGAAGGAAGCGTGGTCAAAAGAGCAGAAGCTACGGCCTCCACAAATAGCTTGAGGCGTGACTGAAAGTGAAAGAATACTGCGCTGGAAAGAGAGGCTGGCCCAGCAGTGCCAAAAGGCAAGGTCGCAAGAGTGAGCGATGTTCAGGCAGCGGAAGCCACAGGAGTGCTAGAGATAACACTGGTTGCAAAAATGTATTGATTATGACAGTGCTAGTGCTGTTAGGTTATGCTATTTAGGAATATGCTCACTTACAATATGCCGGCGTCATCACTCTGTTTCTTTAGGTTAGACTGCTGTTTGGTGTTAGGACAGTTATAAAGTTACATAGCTACAGGTCATCACGTCGTTTGCATAAAGAAACAATTTTAATTGGCTATGTGTTTACTGACCAAGGCGGCTATACATAAAAGATCATTCATAAATGACTACAACCTATAGTTACCTGGACCTTGGCGAGGCAAGTAAAGCGATTACGCGGGACAACGTCAGATTCGCGCTGCGCGATGGAAGCTGGTAACTATGTAGCCCATCGTTCCATTCCCACACTTACACCTTTGCCTTAATAGCTTCCCACTCTAGCATCTAAGTACCCAACTTCTGTACAAGTCATGAATCAACTTCCGCCTGAGCTTATTGCATATATCTGCCGATGCCTATACTTTCGAAAGGACTACGCCAATCTCCGTCTCACCAGCAAGGACATGAGACGCAAGTGCGGCATAGAAAGGAACGAACGCCGTACCCTTTTTTCCCGATTTCTAGCGGAAGAGGCCTGGGAATTTAACCACGCAAGCCAATGGATGTATAATCATGCGATAGAAAAGCCAACGTCTACAATTCTCCTCTTTAAATCCGTTCTTCCTCAGAGACCTAGAGAAGCATCTGCTCTTGGTGCAAAACTTGCTTTTGCACTGGCTCGAAATAATCAGCAAAATGATGCAATAGAAATAATAGAGACCATCTGGCGGTGTCGGACCAAGGGTAGCTATATCCACCGCGACGTCGTTGGACCAGCGCTACAGCTTGCAGCGCTGTACGAGCAGACTGGTCGGCCAGAGGACGCAATAGAGATCTTGGAGGCCATCTGGCAAGATCAAACCCAGCTTAGCAAGGTTCGCTCCGACGTAGTCACACTAGCGCTACAAGTTGCAGTGCTATACGAGCGGAGCGGGCGGTTCGTGAATGCAATAGAAATATTGTGGGAATAAGCCTACAAAGTTATCCAGCTTCTTAGCTAATATATAACAAACTACACACTCGTCATTCGTATCTCAAGAGCGGGGTTAATCTCGCACCCGCTGCATTAGAAAGCTGCTTTGATCTTAGGTACCGACCAGGGTGTGAAGCCAATCGACCCTAGACTGGCCAATACTCAATGGGCGACGATAGAACCAAACACTCTATAATATTTTTAACCGCTCTTCTAAATTTATAGTAAATAGTCTTAGGAATGAGTATTTCATGATTAGGGTATAATAGTCGCGATACGATGGATTTCAAGACACTGAAATCGCAGATTCTTTGCGGCACAGGGGGATTTGCGTGACCCAGGGAGGAATGTTAAGTCTGCTTTCCTCATTTATTAGTATTATCTAATGGTGTAGGTAGTTTCATAACGCCTTGTACACTTAACGATACATCCTACTAAGTTGAACAATATCCTAGAAGTTAATATGATATATAGTCACTAGTATTAGACTTGAATAACACTAAATCATCTTACTATCGTAGAGGATAACTACATTGTGATAGAACAGATAGTAAATCTATGTAGATGCCTTAGTTTCTAGTCATTTCCAACGGGCCTGAAAATATTTGTCCGTGGTCATAATCAGGAACAGGCGGGGTAGACAGATACCCAGGGAGAGGAGCATCCATTTTAGCTCGCGACGATTTCTGCAGCGCTGGCTTTGTCGAGAGAAAATCTTCGCTAGTCTTTATGATGGGGGCTGGATACATGGACTCCTATATTTATCAATTATCCTGATATAACAAGATGCGTAATAACCCACGAGCTGTATAGAGGATGGTGGCCAATCTGTTCGTGTTGGATTTGAATTGTAAATATACAATTGACCATTGTCTTTCTGGATACATATCCACACCCCTACTTTGTATCGGGCACTTATTTCATGACCACGTCGGATGAAATTGTTTTTCCGTTTCCTGAAGGACTCCTGCTCTAATCTTCTAGAGTTCATGATGTAATAAAATGCGTATTGCAGGATACTGAGCCATCTATTTATATGTGATAAGCCCGCACTGACCATTTCTGTCCGTTATATCAGTAAGCTTAGACCTTATGTTTGACACATCCAGATATGAATCAACAATTGAACCCCTCTATCTGGTACTCCATAGTATTTTCAGGGCTTATTACCTTCCTTATCCTATATTTTAGCACTCGCCTAGCGTTTCGATGGCTGGTTGCACTCATAACAGATGCTATCCTCAAGTATCTAGTGTACTCTACCACTAGCCTCTTTGGAATATCTAGATGGCGCATTTCGGCAAAGGACGCGATGTTTCCACTACTATATGTGAGCGCCAACGGCGTTTGTATGGGTTGGGGTGTGAAAGCCGCCAAAGAGCTAAGCCGCCGGTCTGCTTCAATGCTCGCAACAAATCTTATACTTCTGCTTCCGGGCTTTAATGTAGCAGCTGATGTCTTGCATATCTCCCTAAGGGTATACCAGAAAATTCATAGCATAGTTGGGCTAATCGCTTTGATACAAGCGTCAATTCACGCTGGACGAGAACTCACTGCTCACGGATGGACTGGTAACATTGACACAATAAGTGGAATGGCGGTACGTACGAATGTATTGGCATTAGTACTATGGTCTCACGCATCTAGGCATTCTGCTGCCTGGGACTGATGAGTGTTGCTTCTCTCCCCACCCTCCGTCATCATGCGTACGAGATCTTCCGGGTGATTCACTTCAGTTGCTCTACATCCATATGCATATTGTTGTGGCTTCATATTCCTACATCAAATAAAACAGGTCGAGTCCAAGTAATCATAGGAACATGTGTGTGGATAGCGACCTACGCCCATAGAAACCTCCTCCTCATATATCGTAACTTTTCAGTAAGCAAGCCTAGCACTAGTATTTCTATTGAGAACGTTCACAACAGTCTTCAAATAAAGGTCAAAATTCCTAGGCCTTGGAAAATACAGCCGGGGCAGTACGTATATCTTACCACGAGAAGACCTGGACTTTTTTCGATATTTCAGCGCCACCCTTTCATGGTAGCAGACTCAGAATCAGACGATCACAACTTTCAATTGCGTATTCAACCCAGGTCGGGTTTCACAAACCGACTCCTCACACATAACCTTTATAGAACGACAGAGCTTAGTGCTTTCATAGAAGGACCCTATGGACAAGGATTCGACCTTCGAGACTTTGGTACAGTAGTTCTGTTCGCTAGTGGGATTGGGATTGTTGGCCATCTTGCCTTTGTTCAGAAGCTCATACGCGACCACCGACAATCAAAGACTAAGACAAGGGATCTTCTTCTAGTCTGGCACGTGGATGATAAGTATCAGCTGGACTTGGTGTGGGAGGTCATGAATACCATACTAAGAAATGACGATCTTCCAGGCGCTGTAACAAACAAAAATACCAGTATCCCATCTAGAAATGGAAAGACAGATCGATACTTGGACGGTAGTGCCACCGAAGAAAGTCCAGGAGTACGACCTGCACCGCATGGAGAGAATGCAAGTTGCACTGCGACGATACAATGTCAACAAACGCTAATGCTTCTAAGATTATAGATGTTTACATCTACGGCGACTACGATATCTTAAATGAGGCCGGAAATGCAGTATTATACAGGCGGTCAGGTAATCGAATTGCTGAGGTAAAAGGCGAGCCAAACGTAGGACAGATTATTAGCGATGTTCTAAATACGAGAGTTGGAAGACTCGCAATCTGTGGTAAGCTATGTCATTCACTATCGCTACACTAAATAACCTAAGCAGTATGCGCGCACTGGGAAATGAGGCACCAGGCGCAAGAATGCGTTGCCCATACTAGCCATAAGCGAGTGAGATATCTGGAGTTGGATTTTCAACCCTTTGAACGAAGGAAGCATAATCAGAGAAGAAATTCCTTGCCAATTAGGTGCCGGGGGATCGAAGCTGCTTAGATAGACAGAAATGAATCTTAAATCCACCCATCCATCGAGACTGTAGTCTTTGTTGGGTTTTTCGATGCTTTGTACGGCGCTATGAAAGCGTCAAATGCTTGTTCTTGGGCGTAACTATATTGATCTACCGCGTCCGAAACCGCGCTAGAATGATCTCTAATTTCACCAAAATCTATACCGTCGAGTACCCCAATGATACATGCTTGAAGTAAATCTTGGGAAATCCCGGTAATCTTTTCTTTGAACTTCTCTGCGTGCTGGTAACATTCTCGGTAGAATGTGAGCTCGAGTCTAAGCTCTCCGTTTCTCCGGTTCAGAAAATCGATGTACTGAACCATGTCTTTAGGTTGCTTCGACTTTTGCATTTGGTGAGGTTCCATGTCTATCGCAATCGTCCTACCGCCATAGCATCGTATGACATGGTCAATGTTATTGGCTTCGAGGGGCCTTCCACGAGGTGCCTTTCTTAATACTGAATCCATAATATAATTTCAAGTTGTATAGGATTGAAATGGTCTTAGATTTACTAGGTTGTCACAGGTAGAAATGTACGGACATGTTTTTTTATATTAAGTCTGCAGCACGCGCTTACTTACTGAAACATGAGCTGATATGGATTCTAAGCGACTAACGATCTTTCCAAGAACAACAAATGGTGTCAAAGACGCAAACACTATTAACAGAAGAGGTGGCTATACTGAGCTGAGTGCCCTAAAGCGAAAGCTTAATCGTGAAGATGGACTTCTCGAACGTAAGCTCCCAAAGCCTACACCATCCCTTCAAGTAAAGCGCAAAAACTTCACACCGCTTGATGAAGATCCTGGAAGACACTATCGATGTATACATATCGTGGACCCGGAAGGAGAAAGACCTTATTGTTTGGCCCAAGAAATCGCCTCAGCTGCTACTGAGAACGCATACCGGGTCGTGATGATCCGACGTAGCCTAGATAAATCTATCTATGGCCTAGGGGATTCAAACCCGAATCTTCTTAATATTGTGTCTGTTTTTAGGTTTCAGGGTTCTTTGTTCACAGTGTTTGATAGACCTGGCTTTCCCTTATCTGAGATTGCTATGTCTCATTCCCCACCGCTGGGTTTAGCTGAGGTAAGAACGATAAGCGTAGAGGTAAGGCGACCGCACGTTCAATCATACTGGTAATAACAATAGTCTAGGCACTCGCTGGTATCTGCGCAGTATATACTGCAGGCCTTTGCTTGCCCTTTATTGGTGTAGATGATATTACAATCTCGGCAAGCAATGGTCGAGTCAAAGTTGGTACGTATCGAACGCTTCTAAGAAGGCGTTCCAACATCCACTAAACATCAGGTAGCATTAGACCGAGCAACTTTGCAAGAAACGACGGCACATGATAAGGCTACTGCTTTTGGAACAATGCTGGACAACCTAGTGTCCCATATTCCGGATTCTTCAGCCCTACAGCAAAGCCAGGACCTCCTTGCTTTCATCCAACACACCAATGAAAGATCATATCCAGAATTAAAGAAGGTAATTACATCCTTCAAGTTCATAACGTAATATTAAATTTTGGTAGGAGAGTTTTTTGAAGGACCCGTTACCTACAGCGTCATTAATTCCTTTTGTCTTGAATGCACAGATTACAGTATTCCCAGTCGAACACGTAACGAAAGCTGTTATTACTGATTTGGGGACATCTTAAAAATGATAACGAAGTGGTATTGTGATTGTAAATAGAAGCTCAAAGATAGTATTCTGAGAGACGTTACTGGTTCTTCATAGCAGGTGTTTTTCCTCGTCGAGATTTCTTTCGTCGTCCATCTTCGGTAGCAAGTTCGAGAGCCTTGTTTAGGCTTGCAACCTCATTCTTTCCATCTTCAACTTGTTGGGATAGAGTTTTGATTTGCTCCTGAAGCTTCATGATATGGCACTGGAAATCCACATTTTGATCCATGACGTCCCTCAACTTGGTGAATTCCTCATCCTCCGAGCGCTGACTGGAGATTGCCTGTACAATCAGAGCGTTCTTGGCTGACTCTAGAAGCATTCCACTAATACTTTGGCCATTCTGCGAGCCATCTACATCGCCTTCAGCCAGCCTACCTGAAGAGTTGTTCAACAGGCTTTCGGCTCGCTTAGCAACCTCATCGGCAAACATACGAGAGTCTGTTGCAGATTTTTTGAGATCTTCCTGAATCTTCTCGCAACTCGCGTACTCCTTCACAAGCTCGTCGTGGCATTCTTGTAGCTCTATGAATTGCTGGTTAGAGAGTTCGCTTGCCTTCCGTTCTTGTTGTAATGCCTTTTCTATCGCTAAGTTTTGGCGTTGTATATTTCCAACTTCACTTTGAGCCACCTGGAGGTGATGATACATGCTATGTAGCTGGCTCTGGCCATGTTTATACAAGTCAGTCATGTACACCGCAACCTTGGCACAGCATGTTTGGTTGCAAGAATTCATATTGTCCTGCTATTTGGAGTCAATGATAAGCTCTCTGATGAGATGCTAGAAATACCTCTGATTGCACTGTTAATGCTTGATGTACTTGTGATTGACTCATTGTGAGTGGTTGTAGGAAAACGCTTCTTTACAGGTAGGAAGTATTACAGCAAGATATAATATATTCTAAGTTCGTATAATAATAGAGTAGCGAAGCATTTATGGTTGCAGAAGCTAGAAAGTGGTGCAGCGTTAGGAAGTTGCTCCACGCCCCTGAATAGGTTACTAGATCCAACGCACTTCCACATCAGGTTGATTTTCACTTTGTTGCTAGCGATTAATGCACTGCCGCATTAGTGCTTAAGTGATATGCGCTTATTCTGACCCGCTAGATGGGTATCCCCTCGGATCAATAAGTTCTCGTACTGAGTTCCTCTAATACGATAGAGATGTGCCGTGTTAGTTCATGCGTTACTAAGTGACTGCGCGCTTCCGCTCCACCGGCTCGGAACGGTTCGGCTGGAAGACACTGCACTAGCGTTTGCAACTTCAATCTTACAGACACCAGGACTAGGGGCCACTAAGTATTTCATAAAATTCTTACCAATCATATTAATCGCGAGCTGATTCATACCTAACGCCAAGCCACGTACATGTATAGCCAAGCCACGTACATGTATAGCCAAGTGGAGCTCCGTTGCAACCGTGTGCCGGGTGAAGCAGCGAACGCCCGCAGTAAGGATCATCGTTCTAGAGTTGATTTCTGGTAGGGATAAGACTGCCTGGTATAGCAATACTCTGACTAGCAAGACAAATGTCGGATACGTTCGGAAGCGATAGATTTCGTCCTCTACACTCAAGACATACTACGATAGACTTGTTGCTCGCAGCTTCTTTATAATGCTGTACTAGTGGCTATAACTACTTGCACTCTTCGCTAGGTATTTAGTCAATACTGAAAAAAACATGGTTTCCAACAATCAAAACCCATCGCTCTCTGAACAGCTGGCGTTATTTCCACCTTTAAGCGCAATGGTGGCCATGGAGTCATCCACAACTTTCAACACCCAACTACCGCCCATTCCAGAAGGGGGCTGGGATTTTAATTGGAAAGAGGATACGTTTCCACCCTTAAATCTGCATGAAGACTTCGAACAAACCACGACTGCTACCAACGACAACTCACTGCCTGAAACAAATGAGGAGATGATTAAGTTGCAAGATGAGGTGCGACAGCTGCGTCACGATATCTCGGAGCTGAATGAAATGGTTTATAACCGGCTAGATGATATAGAGAAGAGATTATCAGCAAATAATCGTTATGTCGGCGGCAGTTTAGTGCCTTGGTTAATGGAAGTTCATGACAAGTATTCACAGATGTTGGCGAGAGTAACGAAGCAGGAAGAGCAAGCCGTAAATAGGGCTATATGATTCGCTTGGTAGACTAGACTTTAGAAATCTCACCTTGTGTTCCTTACGTGCCATCGTCCGCGTATGCATATTTTTATAATCACTTGTAGTTCTATATTGCAGAAGATCTTACTTTATAATTGATTTAGCGGGGTTGTGGATAGAAATTATCTAGTAGTACCATAAATGAGAATAAATTAAGTAAATTCCGATCTTTTGCGGCGTGCTTGTTCATATCGCCTTGTTTCAACGATGCTATCGTCAAGAAATTGATAACAGCCTTCATGGTCTGCTCGCTTCTGCCACAATCTCGATAATATTTGCAGTAGACGTTGGATAGGAGATAGTATCGTTTGTTGAACTCTCATAGCTCCAAAGTCGAATTAGTCAATAGATAACACAATTATAGAACGTTTAAGTAGAAGTTTCAGCGTTCGTGTGTGTATAGAAAGATGTTCCATTGCTCACGTTGCTAAGAGCTGGTTTAAATACAGATACCCACCTGACTTTTTATGTACTCTGAATTTGGAGGATATTTTCGTGCAAGCCTTTTCTTTAACAGAATTTGAAGCTCCTTTAGATCCAAACATTGTCTGATCTAGATCTATATATTACTAAGGTGTTCTTATAATGAACCCAGGGCACCGCCTCTTAGAGATTCTAGTTTTCAAAGATTTTGAATTTCTTCTTTTCCTGCTAGTTTTGCATTGACAGCGACTCATACCTATATAGTCCGCGATTTGATGATCTGATCTCCCAAACTCAGCGTCCAGCTGCTGGAGCCGTGCAAAATGCGACATCGACTGCGGAAAACCGCTGATTCTTGTTTGATATGATTGATTAAACTGCAAGTAGATAGATTTCATCTGGTCGGCATGGTAAACTTTAAACTTGACGTCCTTCCTATAATGGCCACATTCAGTACAAAGGCTGGAGTCCCCAATACGGCCCAAGCTGGTACCATCTTCCATGGTGAAGGAGGCATCCGGGTATTCTTGAAGGATTCTTTCAATCAGTGCACGCGTGTCCGGACTACGGCAGCGAATAGAACCATAGCACACTAGCAATGTTCTATTTGTAGCAGGCTTCTGGTAGAGTTCGAAGAAGAAAGCAGCAGCAAAAAGCGCCTGCGCGATGCTAGAAAAATCGTAACTATGAAGAAAAGTTGCAGTTAAGTCTTCAAGATTAGTCATCTTGCTAACATCATCCAGCTCTGGCTCTGTGCTAAGTGCTATGTTAACACGGAAGTATCTGTGCCGTTCCTCGAAAGGAACTCGATTCAGGTGGTCCTCCCAGCTGTCTTGGGCATTCAACATGGCGTTGAAAAGGCGGAACAGGCGTGAGAAGAAACGGTCATGAAAGCCCAATCTTCTAGAAACTGTCTCCGGTACCTCTGAATCCCTAGCGAACCCTGTACCTATTGACACAGCTAGATCAGGTTTATTGTTCCAAATGGCTTTCGACTCCCACTCAGCAGGACCAATAGGATTGTTATGCTTTCCCGCACCCCCATCCTGTAGAAATCCAACACCTTGGATAAACTTTGCTGGAAAGTAGGACGGGGCAGCTGATGTAGCCCTAGCTCTGGATGGAATAAGTTTGAAAGCAACGAAGAGGGATACATAACCTACGCGTCGCATATAAGAGTCTCCTCTTTTATATAGGAAGCTCGATAATGTTGGTAACCTGTACTAGTCTGTTAGTCTTCTACCTAAAGACGGGAAATGTCTTCACCTTTTCTTACTCCAGATCCATTATAATTAGAGAGGATACAGAGTCTTGAACGGGATACAGTCATTGTAGTTACTGCTACTTTTAGACCCGATATACCTGTGTTCGATGTAGTAGCGCTAAAAAGCGTAGTGTCTGATCCGAATGCTTCTTTCACGCATGCTTCCATGCTGGCAGCTCCGTAGAAGCTGTCTGTAAGTAGTGAGTACAGAAATCGATATATATTCGTGAAAAAGGAATTTCCAAGTAATGGGCGAGGAGTGAAGACACGTCTCGACAGCTGCTTGAAGATGTCGATGCACTCGTTCAAGCTCCGGCGCAAGAGAAACATGAGTACGATAAGGCCGCCTGCATCTTGTGATGAGTAATATTTTCATTTGCATATATCGAGACAGGGGAGACACTTACCTGTACTTGTACCTAGTGCCAAGTCAAACTCATCGTAGATAGGGTAAGGGAGTTGTCGATACTCATCGAGCGCTTGCAGTATATGCAGCGTGAGTATCCCCCGGATACCGCCTCCGTCAAGAACGAGTAGGCGGCTTCCGGCGGTTGGTGGTTTTAGACGAACTATCAGCTCGCTTTTGGAAAGGCACAAAATGCATTGCGGGATGCGGTATGAGTATTCCATTTGTTGCTCTTTTAGTCCATGTCTGCAAGTGCAGGAATCACAGAGCGCGTGTCCACAGCGCGAGGGATGCTCGGGCTTACGGAAGATGCAATAAAGGCAGACTTGAGAGCTTAGAAGCTTATTCCAGTCGATGAGTATGTCTTGGAGATTTCTCTTATGCATTTGCACCGCCGTAAGTTGGTCTTGCTCAAGTTTGCAACAGAATTGGCTGAAAACCATTTTTAACTGTTTACATGAAGATGCTGGAAAGAAGCCTTGTTCGGATGGCAGCGACGAAAAGACGTCATAACAGTGAGATTGATATAACGACTCAAAAATCGAGGACGGTTTAAAGCCTGTGAGGTAAGATCATGATGTGATGGCTCAGCATAGAGTACTTACGATGCATACCTGGGGGAAGACTGTCTAGCATAAGGGCAGAGGCAATGTACTTTAAGGCAGCCTCTTTGTTTACGTGATTAGTGGTGCATAGTGCCAAAAAGATCCGTAGATTGGTCCTGAAATTCTTTTCTATTTGATTGCGTTGACGTGAAGCGATAATAAAGTTGAATGGTGTGGAGGCGCATGTCGCAACGTGTCTTAATGCCAGCTCGAAGAAGGCATTAAGATGATTGGCTGAGTAAAGCGTCTTGGAGGTATCCCTGCTTTTTCTTACCATTTTTATACTAGAATTGATGACCTTTTTTAAAGCGAAGAACCTCGAGGAGGACAGGGATTTGCGGCTTTCCTTCGGTAGTGATACGCGTTGGATATCACTAAACATGGGCAGGCTAAGATTTCCCCTCCGCCTATATGTGCGGTTACTCACAAGGATGACCTGTGGCTTCCAGTCTTTCGATGTGCTACTATGATGTCCACATCTTTGTAGGAAATGGATCCCTTCCTCGGGGGTGGAGAAATCGTCAAGGAAAAGACATACAACATCGATGAACAATAGCAACAACTTGCCGACTATGATTTCCACAACGGTTTCTGTGGTAGTCTCGGACAAATGCTCTGACAGCCACCTGACCTTATGGAGCAAATTTCCATTATGCTTTTGCAGTGGCTTCTGTTTGCTGCAAGCTTTATGTATATCTAGACTCGCAACTAGTAGCGGGTATTCGTCGTTGGCTGTCGAGTTGTCTGCCTGTAATTGTGCAATACCGCGTGACCTTGAGTAAGTGCGCCCTTGTAGCAACGCCCGGCACGCGGCGTCTTTCTCACACTTACCAATCAGCAAGACTGTAGAAGGAAACTGGGAATGGGGATTGCGAAAATCAGCAGTGGCTCGCTGCAAGGCACCCCCACACGCTAGGAACCAATCAGTTCCAGTTTGAAAGCCGTACAGCCAATCTGAACAATTGTCTGGCGACATAAGTACATACGTTGAATGAAGAGTATTCTCCTTCTTTTGCGCGAGAACCTTGCTAGTGTCTATATAAATACTTTTCAAGATGAGCAGGTTCTTGCTAGACTCAGTTTCAAGAGGGTGCTAGCGGTGACATATTTATAAATAAGCCAGGCCTAAGCTAATACATTACGAAAGTCACAATATGAGTGTAAAGCTTGAAAAATTCCGATACTACCTTGGGACTGCTCAGATACGTCTACTAAATTTATGCTATAGTACAGCTGGTTCAGATCCTGACGATTGCGTCGGGTGCTGCATATCTGACATAGAACATAATTTACCCGCTTTGATCAGCAATCCTGAGTATCAGAACTGTTTGAATAAAGCGGGCATCTCCACGCACGAGTTATATGCTGTTGGAAATTCGCCAAGGCTGGTTCTTTCTGGTGATATTCAGTTACCATGCCTTCACGGCCGATTTAGATTAGAAACCGCAAAACGAGATAGATCGCAAGATCAAAATGATTGGTGGCTCGTCGATCTCTACAGTTCAGGTGAGTGAATTATTGTTTTACCTACAATTAGCTGCTAAATAGTAGATAGACGCACCTGCATCTGCGTTAGTTAGGATTCGTCAATCGTACATGCGACATGCGCCTCTATGTGATGGGGAAAAATTTCTTCACATTCGCTTCTACGAACGTAAGAAAGATTACGAAGTCGTTTCAAGGTGGAAGAAGTTACTAGGAGCTAAGGTAAAGAGCCTTCATCAAGTTCTACGTAATGACTGGCTTCGCGACTGTCTTGAAAAACTAGAGCCATTTCGCTCCCTATGGATGGCCTTTCAGCTGGGATGCTTTCCATTGATTCTGAGCTGGAGGTGCAGACAGGTACGTTTTTCCTGAAACCAAAGTAACTCGGATCGTTTACTTCTCTAGGAAATTGAATACTATCTAAGCCAGATGTACGAGATCTGGTATACAATCACAAATGGAAACGCCTACCTCTGTGATGAATACACTATTGAGAAGCTTGGAGGCCTTGCGCCTCTATGGAGTTCTCGGGACCGCTCAACAATAGAGACCATGTTTGCCACATGTCAGGTCTTCCCTCGCGTACACGATTCTGCTATTCGTGCTCAAATCCTTCAAAGAGTTCTTGCTATCGAAGGACTCATTTTAAATTTCCAGACTTTTTTCAAGCACGTCAAAGTACTAGGACCGATTATGCTTCCTTTGAGAGAGCTGTTTCCAGCGAGTGAGCTATTCCCCCCGAGGGACGAATTCAGCCTAGCATCCAACCATCTTCCATCGGTAAGAGACATTCTATTTCAGCGTTGTTACGAGCGGCGTGAGGAAAATAAGCAGCAATGTTTAGTGGAATACAGCGCCCTCGATGCACGCTTTATGGCATGTAGCGATCCCGAAAAGGTTGCGTACTGGCAACTCTGTCTTTATCTATCGCGCCACACGAAAAACCAATGGAACTCTTACAAAGAAACAAAAGACCAGAGGGAACAATCAGAGCGTCCAGAATGGATCATTCGGCTTGGCTCCTTTGCGCATAAGCTTGGATTTGCGTCTGCGGAGATCTCTTCTCTGTGCAATCAAGATCCAGATCTTTCACAAATTCGCATGCACATGCTTCAGGAACGACCAAATCACATATTCTCTGTGCCTGCAGAAAAGTTCGATGCTGAAGCTCATTCCCGCCAAAATGGTCAAACGATCTTTGAGCCTCGCCCGCCTGCTCCAACTCCATTGATGACGACTGACAACACGACTACCATACGGATGCCTAGGAGCCACCCAGGACTATTTCTTCCCACAATATGGACAGCACTTACCCAGGAGCCGAGATATGCTTTGACAGAATACGGAATACTTGTGTTGATTTTAATGTCGTTCTTCGAGAGATTTGAATCAACGTCTGTCAGCAGTACCTGCGAGGGCTTTCAACGGACTGAACCGGCCCAACCGGCCTGGTCACCATTGCGGTCTTCCTCGGTCTACTCGAGACCCGTGAATCCCGATCTGGCTAGTTCTCGTATTGACCGCTTTACCTTCTGGCGTCTGCCACATAGTACAGATATGTGCCCTAAGCCGACATATGAGTGCGATTCTATTCAAGCGGAGGTTATGAAAGTAATAGCAGATATTAGACACCAAGGCACCTTCGCTTTTTTTTTTTTAGTAGATAGATTCGGACAACTTAAGACTTGTACTCCCTCTCAAATTGGCCGTCGCCGTGGAGGATCTAAGCGACCTAATGATATATTCTATGCGTATGGCAGGGAGAATAGTAGTATGTGGGTTGGGAGGTACATGGATAGTCCATAAATCTAATCTTATTGCATTGTGTGTGACCGTCAAAGTGCCTTAGATTAGCAAAGGTGACATCATACCTGCTTGCGTGACAAGTATTGTTGATTCCAAATATGGTAAAGTGATCTGCTGTTACATTTATTGAGCCGACATATACCCCTAGCGTCTTGGATGAGATGGCCGATGTTCACGTTAATTGTGGCACAGTAGTCTTCACTTCAGGGACTACGTAAGCCCAACTCTTGGAAAATCGCCACATGCACGAATGTGGCACAGCAACACTACGTCGCTGCTATCCTATGCTTGCATTGGGCGCATATAATGCCCCTAATGGTTCCTTGCATGTTATGTGATACGCACTGGCAGATAATCATGAACGCGATGCAAAGATCTAAGCAACGAGTGAAGCAAGCATGCAATCGGTGCCGAGCCAAGAAAACGAAAGTAAGCGCAGCTAGCCAAAATGCGATTGAGTAAAATACTCACAATGGTACTGTGTGATGGGGAGCGTGTATGCAACAGATGCCAAACGGACGATACCCGCTGTGATTACAACCAGGACGCGGGCCACCAGTGGGATAAAAGATCTACGTAAGTATTACTAAGAGTTGAGCAGTGGTAGGTCCAACTCACTCATATTCTATGCAGGATAGCTCTCCTTGAGGCACAGAACAAACAGCTAAAGGAGACAGTACAAACGTTGTACGAATACATTCGAACTGGCCATAACATACCAGTACTGCCAGGTCGGAGCTCAGGAAACGACCGCCCACTCTTGCACGACATCGTGGAATATGTTAATACACCGCCCGTGCGAATGGAAACCAGTACCGACCAGTTGCAGCAGCAGGTCCCATGGCTGGGCACTACATCCACTTTGTCTCTACCACAACCGCAGCCAGAAACCTCGTCATATCTAAGCTTTGCTGCGACTGAGTCTCAACGGAGTAACTTCATGGCACCTTCAATGCAACCAGATCTTCCGTTAACGGAGTACAACTTAGCACAGGTGGACCACGAGCTTCTAGGAAGCAGCTTTGACCTACAGGAGTTTTTGTCGTTCGCGGAAGCAGACCCAGTAGAAGCGGCAAGATCGCGTCGATGGCTATAGCCATACAAATCATATGACATGTGTTTTTCTTTGGCGCGAAGGATGGTGATCCAAGCATGTAGTTAAAAGTAATGAAATTGTATTGCATTGATATATTGTGTGAGGTTTTCGTGTTCTATGACGTATCCCACGCAGAGCATATGCCCTTACACTGTTCTGGCATAAGTCACAGACTCGTCATCCTCGAATTCTAGATAGCCATCAAGCATATCTTCCACAGGTTCGCTGTAGGCTTCCATATTCTCAAACTGTGTGCTGCTGGAAGAAACGCGCTCCAGGTCCAGGTCATCAACACCCACTAGTTTCTTCGATGTCCGGCCGTCTTCTGCAATCTGGACGTCTAATCGTTTGACTTCATGGCATGTGTCTAGCTTCAAGACTTCTTGTGTGAGATTATCTCCAGCTTCCAGAGCATCTCCTATAGTAGTGCGGACATAACGGCTGATATCGGCAGTTGCTTCCTCGATTGCTACATTAGCGTCCAGTAGCTGTTCTCTCTGGAGATCTACAGCGCTCCGCAAACTTCGAAGTCGATTATCTATCTCTTGTAGGCTTGAGTCTCCCCTCAAGATCCATACAGCCAAGTCGTTTTTCTCGCGTAGATGGAGAGCTTCACCGATACCCAGTGGACTTAATAGTGTGCTTGCGACTTCTGAGCGACATGCCGCACCTCGGAGCATCAGATTTGCTGTGATATTTAGTAACCCTCATTATGCTCGCTAATAGAGACTACGTACCCAACAGTACAATACAATCTGTATCCTGACCACCAGCAAACTGCTCAGTGGGCAATGGCTCCAATTGAAGTGGGTGGACAAAAAAGACATCTTGAAGTAGCTGATGGTACTTGGTAGGGCCCAAAACCTTGGCTACATGAAGAAGCATAAGGAGTTTGGCTGTAGAAATCGTCTCTGGCCTCAGGGTTTGTGTGATGAAGCTGAACGCTACGGTATTATGTACGCGCGATGTAGTGGGAATCTTGTATCGTCGAATAGCGTCAGCCATCTTCACAAGCGTTTGTAGCGATATGTGAGATTGCGGTATGAAAGAGCCATGAGCCGACTGGCACATCAGGCGAAAAGCTTCAGGATCTTCATCAGGGAGCTCGATCCTCTTACGCAACGTGCCGTTTGGCTTGGTAAGAAGCTTTTTAAACTCGGGTGACGTTTCCAGCATGACTGAAGAAGAGATAAAAAACTGGGTTTGTTGGATCTTAATCTCGACGTCGCCTTTCTCGTATAGAGTCATGCTGAGACTGATTGCAGAGGCCACTGTAAATTAAGATGAAGGGGTTGTTTGTATGTTGTCTATACGACGGTAGTATATATAGTCGAGTGACTGAGAATCCTGGAACAGAAAACTTCAGCTGTACATTCTTCTCGCATTAGATAGCGATCTGTCTACGTACGCCCTCGTTGGCACACATCCGTTCACGTCAGTGTTTGCAGGCCCACTAAGGGGCGGAAAGGTATGCCATTGCCTAGCTGTTCCGGATGCCGGCCCATTCAGTGAACCTCAAGAGGTCTTCCGGAAAGCGGAATGCTCACATGAGATGATCACGTATTCGGCGTTTTTCGTCTATTCGGCTGTACTGCGGCGCGGCAAGCTTCACCTAGCGCATACGCTACTAATCACCAGCGCTTACAACACCAATAATAACGACATCCGATTCTCCGGACTCATGCATAGCGGCAATTACGGTCGTCTTTCTCCGTTCGCATCCCCAGCCCCCTAGTTCATGCAAGGATTCCTGTAATGGCTCTACACAGTAGATTTGCGCGCGCCACAAGACATGACTCAGGTACATGTAAGCATGAACGCACGACCTGTGCATGCGATGTAACAGATCACAGCATAATGTTTACATTATACAATCCTATTATCCAAAGGCAATATTTGCAAATACTACGTTCGTGCAGAAAAGATCCTAGAACCCTGTTCCCACAGTATCTACTTTAAGCGTATCTTGCCTGATGCAGTCATGATAGCGTCCGTATCAGATATTGCCACACCTTTTAGTTCCTCTCTAAGCTGCAGTGCTCGAGCTGAACTGATCCCGTGGTCATCGTTAGGGATTCTAATCACTGGAACTGATGTAAGGGCCTTGTGGAGAAAAGGAGGGGGTGGCATTGCCTCCTCGGCTAGACTCTCGTTGAGCGCAGTGGGAGAAAAGCTTATCAGCGGATTGAATGCTCTGCAAAGCAAGCGATGGTATATCACAGTCAACCCTGTAGCAAACAACATGACGCATGCCTGACTAATACACTTAATGTTGCCCTGCGAGTCTCGTACAAGAAGAAACAGAGCGATAAGATAGACTTGCATTAGATACAAGCCTATCAAGAGCTGTTTGATTGCTTTGGGATAGAAGAGACCCCCATGATCCCGCTTAGTGATCAGGATACTGGATCTGGAGTAGATGATCCAAAACAAGCTTATAATAACTACCTGGAAAGGAATGATGATGGGTGAGATAATGGCGTAGAGAAATCCTGGTTCTTTTAGTGTATGCTGGTGAACGTATGTTCCAAATCTAAGACCTACCAATGCAAGAGAGGTTTGTAAAAAAAGGAACAAAAGTGCCCCATTGAAGGTCCTGGCCCTTTCTTCTTATCATCATCTGAGTAATTGACTTATCGAAGATTGGGCCTAGTACAAAGGTTCCTATCAAGCGATCAAATCTCAAAAGAGAGTTGGCGCTAATTGAAAAAGCTTGTAAGAGAATATATGACAGGAAGTAATTACTTGCTTTTGGTAGATTCTTGGCCAAGGTCCCAGCCAATGAGGCTCCATGTGCCATCTCGTTCGCAATCGCGGTAAGTCCTGCAGAAAGTGATACTACGAGAGTAACTTGGAGAAAGAGGAAATAAAAGTAATAATCCTGAATCTTGAGGTCTATATGGCTCCTGGAAGAGATACCCTGCTGCCCGACAAAATATTCTAATGCGACGACAAATCCTTTGGTCAAGATGGCCACTAGTGTGGGAGCCAATACACCTTGGAGTAGACTTAGGAAGGATTCTGGAAGTTCACTGATCCAGCTCAGCCAAGGCACCACCCGAGTGATGTAGATGACCTGGGAGAGCAGACCTGCCAGAGCTACTGGTATGACGCAAGCAGTCGCCGTTACCATGATAAGCGTGTTCGAAAGGACAGTGCGTATGGTTCTGTCCTTCCAAGTAATGTTAATATTGCTCCATACCACGTCGTCAATGGACAAAGGTATTGTGCGGGGTGTCATATAACCTGAGCCAGTATGAATCACGGTTTGACATGCCATATGAGCGGCTAGGGGATTGGCGAAGGTAATAAAGGCAGATCGCAATAGTGGAGATTTCTCTGGTGCTGCACGATAAAATTCCATCTCTTCACTAGTTTTAAGAAGTTTCTCTCGATACACTATGCTGGTATCTACTGTTTCACGTTCCATCCAGACGAAGAGGTTTAGAAGGCTGCGTGATTTGTAGCTTGAGTGTCTAGTTCTTTGGGGAAGTTTTGATTTCTTGCTTCGTTTCTGAACGCCTGCTCTGTAGGCCTTCCGTATCTTTGAAATCTCCTCCATTTCGAGGGATCGAGCCAAATGCTCCCGTCTCTCTGCCAGCCGGGAAATTAGGCTATAGTCGCGATTGAAGGAAATTGCGGTAACTACGCCAGGGAAGACCTCGAGTTGAGACGTGAGTGCCCTCTCGGACATCCAATCATCGGGTATAGATTCGATGAGTACTGTGCACAGGGCCGCGTATGTTGAGTGTTGCCGGGTTGCAACATAAAATGCAAGCTCGTTCCAGATAACCCAGCAAACATGTACGATAAAAAGCAAACCAAGGATGAGATGGGCCCAGTAACGATCTGCCTGATCAAGGCCAACATTGGACCATCCCAACGCATCAAGTCCACTTACTCCAAGAACAGCAGTTTTTCCTTTGGTGTAGTTCAAAGGAATAAGAATAGGTGGTATAAGTATCGAAGCGGGAGTGAATATAACAGCTAGTGATCGTAGGTACCGGCGAAAAAAGTATCTATCGAGATGCTCATGGCGGGGGTCAAATCGAACCAAGTTGGTTGCAATGTATGTCTTCCAGTTTACCGGTGTATTGGTGTAATGGTCGGGAATAATAGGGCTGTGGTAATTAGCGCTAGATCTGATAAAATGCCTTGAGCTTACTAGAAATCTGGGAATCGCTTGCGGATGACGAGAAACGCAAGAACTTGTAGTGTGAATATGCTCGCAGAAAAGGAGACGGATGCAATGAATGATCCTAAAGAGATACCCTGGAGCTGCTGAGCTTTGGTGAACGATTTTTCGAAGGTATTATCCATCGTGTTAGCCAGATATTCAGTTCTTACAGAGTAAGCTTTAACATGAAGTAGATGGGTTCTGAGCGGCAGAGACTCTTCGAATTGATCGCTTTAAACGATCTGGTCTAGGAATGGCTTAGTGTAACAAGCAGGAGCACTTTGGAGTGTCGTGCTTGTTACGCTACGCCCAGAAGAGGATGCTCTACACAGTTACTATAGCTTGAGCGGCAAAGATCTGTCTAAACTACAGTCTCTGAAAAACATACTCTAGAAATGTACTAGCGTAACAAGCAGGAGCACTTCGAAGTGTCGTGCTTGTTACGCTAAGCCCAAATTAGTAGACTACAAAACAAGCTAGCGTTATTGGCCTACAAGTGAATCCATCCGTTCCGGGCCGGATTAGTGCGACGGAAGACAGGCAGCGACGGAAGGTAGGGAATCGCTCTTGGTGAGCAACTCTTGCATGATGAAGCAGGTTTAATTGCGGGATGCCTCTGCTGACCCCGCGCATAATTCGCCTATCCAATTCGCTGACATGATGGCGCCAGACTGTTCTCTGCCCTCTGCCCTAGACTTGATCAAGGTGTGTAAATTCTAACAAAAACGTGCCATGGCTGATTTATCTAATAAGATAAAGCGTGTGGTAGATAATTGGTTGCAAATGAGTGATGCAATCGACTTCGATGATCTTGTAGCCCTGATAGATGCGCTCGACTGTTTGAAGAAGGACGCACAGCAGAAGATTTCTATCAGGAGAGCAAGCCAAGCGAGCATGCAAACCCATCGAAAGCCTGAATGTGTGGGTAGTGCTAACCAAGGGGTGCGAAGGTCTTCTCGCCTCGTCGCATCCGCTCCTCAATATGCTTTAACGGGCCCGCTGTTTGTCACTGAAGACGAGTCTGAGTCTGAGTCCAGTAATGAAGACCATGGGACACATTCACAAATGCTCTACGAAGAAAACCATGATGAACACGAAACAAGGAATGCTGCAGCAGAGATCCTGATGAATCAGTTACCCGTCAACAACAATGGCCATGCAGACATAAACCTTCTTGAAAGGAATTATGGGCATGAAACATCGCAACTCAGGCATCCCATAGAGCAAGACATATTCTCTCCAACGCCCTATACAGCAAGGCTAGTCAGTAACCAGCATACGGATGTACAGCCAGTGCAAGTACTCAATGAAGCCTCGAACGCCCAATTTCATCGGGAAACTAGTGCCACTGCTCTATACCAAGCATTGGAGGATCTAGATGATGTCGGAAATCAGCGGGTTTCTGAGCTTCCACATGCTAGTGTCGTCCATGAGCCACAACTAGGCTTGATGGAACAGGATGCTCCAGATTCATTCTTCAATGGAGAAGAGTTTGGAGGGACTATCATGAATAATTTACCCTCGCCTAATCATTTTGATGAATTGTTCGGAGACTTGTACACCTCTGTACATGAAGAGGTGCCGTGTGACGTCGAGGAGGCCGCTGCATACTCCGAGGAACAATGTCCGACCAACCAAAATCACACAGAAAACTTTGACGCTGATCCAATACTTCAAGGCTATGTGGATCTCGCTTGTCGCTCGGGCTTTCGCCTTCCACAAGAAACTGCAGAGGGTACAGATTGTGTTGATGCTCGGGAGATTCTATTACCTTTAGTAAAAGAAAGGCCCCTTCCGTCAAGACTCATCCATGGTATATTGCATACGTTACTGCCCGGCCCGATTCTCATCATCGATTTTTGTTCTGGTGGATTCGATCCAGACGTGGTGGAAGGAGGCACCTACACCGACTTTGTAGCAATCGTACGCCGGAATGAAGACGCTTCGCCTCTGATTGTGATAGGGCTTGAGACGAGCAAAACATTTTTTATTGTTGATAGCGAAACATGGGATTTACCATCTCTTGGAATTCAGTGGCTGATACGCCCTGAATGGAGGACGGAACATATTGATGTAGGCCGATCACCCACTGGACTCCTGACACTAACTGACCTTCTTCAGCCTCGAAGCATTGAGCCACACATGGAAAGTACTCTAGTATCGGTTTGGATAGCAGAAGCCTACATTCGGCGTTGGTCCCTCGAGAATGTCCCAACATCCCGTGATTTACGCATGCGTTTTCTAGAGGAAATGTTAGCGCCCTATCAACTCGATTCGGTTCTTGAGAAGTGTGGCATTCCTAATAAGCCTAAAAGGTTTGAACAGGCTGATTCCCGGTGCAAACTGGCCTATTCAGAGACGCAAAGACAAACTGTTGAGATTGTCGTACCAAATCTGGGAAATTTCGAGCACGAAGCGTTACAAGAATCACTTCGCCTAAGGCCTTCCGAGATAAACCGCGAGCGTTGTTTACGCATCTTACAATGTGTGAATGAGATTGGATCTCCTCATATTCTTGAATCACTCAGACTGGCGTTTACTAGGAAAGACCAATGTCAAACCTATTCAGCCACAGAGCGACCTATCTTCGAAAAACTATACCAAATCCATATTTACTTGGATAGGCAAGAAAGCGAAAGCCATATCTTGGTTGCTAGAAATCGATATATCAAATATTGTTACTTTGAGACATATCTGCGAGCTGTCGAAGCGCTGAAGGAAGAGAAGCGTAGTAGTACCCAAGAAAGACGAAGAGTCTCAGCTCGAAAACGGACTATCAGCTTCAAGCAGGGTATTTCTGAGGGGCTACCTCCTACTCCACATACTAAAGAGATACATCGAGTTTACGAAAATCTCAGTGCGTCAGAAAGAAGAAAGCGTGCTCCTGACATGGTTAAAGATGAGATTTCAAAAAAAATTGTGAAGGTACATGGCGGGAATGAAAAGCGGATTCGACGCAGTATCAACAAATACATCAAGGACGGGAGAGTTCTACACAATATTCTGAGAGGCAGGAGATCCTTAAACCCAGCACTGCTTATTCTATTTCCAAGCTTTGGATCCGATTTGCCTTCTTTGAGTACAACTGAATTTGGATTAGAGCTTGAAGAGCTTGAGGAGAAGGCTCTTAGTAAGCCCATCCAGCTGAAAGAGTATGATAAAATTCTATATGTTTTGAAACTTTCACTAATGTCAGTGAACAGTATAGATGAATTAACGCTGGTAGAGGCAGCTTGGTTTGGCGAGGCGTTGCAGGCGAGACCGGAGCTGCTAGAACCGGTACCGGAGGCTGTCTCTGATCTCATCTCGAATACCCTGACCTATGATCTTGATCTCCAAGGGCGTGATCCAGATAGCTTCCAGGGTACACCACTCCGATTTTTTACGTAGTAGAATGTGATTTTTTCCGCACTTGGATTAGCGTGCCATTTTCCCCGAGTGTAACAATACCTATCAAATTTATGATCTCTCACTTTATATAATTCTTTCATCCCCAACTCAGACACATCATCCCATTTACTTAATAAAGCCATCTCTTGTACTTTTTTATACTAGATTACTGTTTAAACGGCGAAATGAAGACTGAACCTGAAAGCAATATAACCAACGACGATGCATGGCCTTGTTTAGGCGCTATCAGCATTAACCCTCTGTATATGCTTGTATTTTGGGAAAGTTCATGGCTTTCAACGCGGGAGTACCATGCACTTCATCAACATGGACATCAGGGGTGGCTTGTTCACGCTCGAGGCGAAGACGAGTTACTTATTTCATGGGAGCCTACAATGGAGAAAAAGTCAATTCAACACTCGCCCCAAGATCTACTTTATCAGTTCTCTGTCGAGGTACGAAAAAATCGGCCTGGTTTACTTGGATATGTCGCGGCAAAGCCCTTACCTCCCTCTTCAAACGCGAATAGCCGTTTTCCAGCTTTTCTAGCCTACTGGAAAGTCGCCCGAATCACCAAGGGTCTCTTTTATCATTTACAGAAAACGTATTCTAGCCATCGGGGCTATATTGTACACGAGGAGCCAGGTGAAGTTTGGATACAATGGGAACCTACGTGGGTGGTTTACGAAAACTTGGATGAAAGTAAGAAAGAGCAGCTCTTACCGATATGTCATGATCCTGAGGCCATGTTGCATCGTTTCCACAGGGCAATCGTTCACTACTCCACGCGCTCAGTAGTAGAAAGGCGGATTAGTAAGAGTACAAAAAATTGAAAGATACTATTCACAATCTATCACTAATCTCGTAGTTGCATATATATGTGTTATGAATCTAGTTTGTTCTACCAGCCCGATGTCCCATCAAAAACCTACATAGCAGTTGAATCCACTGAGCCGAGCAATATTCTACGCACGAATTCTCCAGTGATAGGACGTCGTGAGATACTGGTAGGCAGTTCAACACAGTTACAAAAGCCCCTGTTGTTGTTGCTGCGGTAGCTCAATCTGTGCCAGATACTGCCATCCCCTGTGTTCGGCAACATGGCGAAGCAAATGCCACGAGAATCTGTTATTTGTGACTTTTTGCTCTTTTTGCTTCCGTAGATAGTGTTATGAACTTCAATATTGGCCTCTAACAGAAGACCGACATGAGCTTGCGGTAGCTTGCCCTTGACGACGATGATGTCGATCTTAGAGCCAAGTCCGCCTCTTAAGGATTCTTTGGCATCTTTGAACGCCTGCAGTGCAACATTAGTCAAACTGATACCCGTGCCGGCATCGTACGATGTCTCCATCAGGCTTTCGTAGTTGTGGACTGCAAAATTAAGGGGAACAGGCTCCATGTACCGCGGAAGGAGATCTCTCGCTTTTTGACTTATCCTTTCCTTCAAAGCCTCATTAGAGGATTCTTCTACCAAACTGTAGTTACTGTAGGCATCTTCAATAGTTTTGGTCATTTCTTCAGCGGCGCTTCTTCTATTATTGCCTGTACGAGGCTCTTCTGAGAGTATGTTGTTGTTTTGATGGCCTTCGGCCTGTATTAGGTTGAAGCGATAGCCTTCGCGCGTTTGCTGGAAAGCACTCTGCCAGTCAGAGTTCTCAAGGTGCAAACTGCCGGTTTGCGCTAGATGTTCGGCCCATAGTCGAATCCCTTCATGGAGAGTCTCAATCTTGGCTAGCTTTAAAAAGGCTTTTATATCTCCAGTGGGGTGACGTAGCGGTAGATTTGGGAAGACTACAGTAACATTTCTTGGTCTAATTCGGTCAAAGACAAATTTCAACGCAACTAAGAAATCAAATTGTAGCGCCCAGTGATCACAGAGATCTTCATGCAAGAAGATTTGAAAAGATCTTTCGACCACCTGAGCCTGAAATTCTCCATTGTTGACCAAGTCCCGTAAAGATTCTTGGTTCTGCTCCTGGGCCGTGACTGGAAGTTGAACACGTCCATCCTTTGTAGAAGCCGATTTAGAGCTGGCATGTCCCATTCTAAAAACGAAAAACGGATAGGAGACAGATGGTTGTTTGTGAAGAGAACATCACTGTGGTTCTAAGAGGCTTTTAGCTAAAATTATATCCGTGTGAATTACTCATTGCCCCTCATCATCCACGTTACTCGACCACCTCTCTAGCCTTAGCATTGCACTAACTACCACGTGCATGGCTGAGAGCATCATATAAAACTGGAGGCATTGCCTAATATCACATACAACCATAGCCTGAAAAACTCCTCCCATATACTTCTGACTTCAAGGATGCATATGAAATCTTCTTGGGCCTTTTTGCCAATTGCAATCGTCCGTTCGCACGTCTTTGTGGGCGAGCCCGCGCCTTTCTTCTGGGATCCACAGGTGGCAAAGCTGATCATGCCGTTAAATGGTGATCCAAACTACCAAAGTCCAGGTTGGGGTCAGCAATCCTTTCCTTGCAAGGGACATCACAGGAATGTGACTCACCACGAAGCTCATGCAACTTGGTATACTGGAAGTACGGTAACGTTTCAGTATGTCAGTTCATACTCGAACAATTCCAAGCAATGGCTTATAGTATCTCTACAGAATCTATGACTCTACCAACACAACTGGTGCTAGTATGCACGATCCCGGCGCAGCTCATTCGGGAGGCTCTTGCCAGGCATCATTCTCATACGATAATGGGGAAACATGGATTGTCTTGCAAAGCTGGGAAGGAAACTGCGTGCGTGTTCGTAAGGGTCAAGAAGGCAAACTTACAAATTCCTATGACATTGATCAAAGCTACTCTTTCGATATTCCTGCTTTCCTTCCAGGGGCAGATATGGTAATCTTCGCATGGCAAGTCAGACTATTCCATCACAGTGCGCTACTGACTCAATAGGACCTGGCTAAATTCATCTGGCAATCGAGAATTCTACATGTCGTGCTCCCCTGTCCGGTTGATAGCATCACAATCTTCAACGAAAATACCATCTGGATATCCTATGTATATTGGGAACCTCCAGGAGAGTCCGGAATCAGTGGATGCACAAAATCCAACCTGGTCTAAGTGCTATGTTCCGCAAAACGTGTGGATTCGCTACCCTCAGCGATATAGAGGCATCAACCGACCAATCGTAGCCGATTCTCTTCCAGCTAACAGCCAGATTAACTACCTAGAACTTGAAGACGATGGGGGGTTATGCGGCTCAGACAACAAAGAAAGGGTTAACGCTCTCGCACTTCGCTTTAGTTAAATCCTCTAAAGGTCTTCTACGTTGTCATGTGGTTCGAAATCTGCGAATTGTAGCTTTAAGCAATCAATAATGATTGACTATACGCAATAGGTTTCAAAATATCATTGGTTGGGAAATACATACCTACTCCATGGGCATGACACTGGAATTAGATGCGCTACTTGAAACATGATTTCTGCCTTACACGTCCTAGCTATGCATAGTATTGTTAACTGTCTAAGTCACGGTACTTACTATTACTAACGTTACATGCAAAAAAAACTTCACGTCTTTTCGTGACTGTATTTTATGTATAAAAAATGGAGTTCCTCACTTCGTATAGGAAGTTATTCTTCACTCATTTCTCCAAGTAGAGCAAACCCAGCTTAAGTAAGCCCAGCGATAAAGCTTGTATTTCAATGCTATGGAGCACAACGTTATAAAAAGCCTTTGTTTACTATGTGGTAAACGCCGATCAAGTCGTGCCCAACACGTGCAAGATCATCAAGTCTGTTCAAGAAAAACGTGCGCCAAAACCAAACGCCTATTACAGAAAGCTTCGGAGGATAGTAGCAACCTAGTTATCAACATCTATCACTACCACTATACTAGTTGTGCAGTCAAAAATATACCCAATCGTGCAAACTGTAGCTATGAGCTTCACGCGAAAGAGGTTCCTATCCTTGAAGCCTTCACTGAACTGCCCGACAATATCTCAAAGCAGCGCCCTTGAGACACCATTCGCAGAGCTACCGATGGCATATGGTGCATCTGTTATACTAATTCTCATAAATTAGTCCTTAATCTGATTTTAATAAATAACTAGTTAATAGTTATGGAGAAACTTTCAAGTAAGGGTATTATGTACCCGTTGTTCAATACTTCTATGTAACCTATATTTAAGTTAACCTTCTACGTTTTTTTTAGAACGTTTCTATATATAAGCCTCGATGACAGTACCTTCTACAAAGCTATAAGATTTTTTGCACCTTAATGTGCTTAACTCCAACCGCTCTTCGCATCGAATTCCTTCCTATGGCTGAACACTGCGCCGTATGCTCGCGAACGCTCGAAGAAGGGATTGGGAAAGAGGGCCTCGTTTATGTATTAAGAGATTGTCGTTGTGTAAGTTCATTAACACCTACATCTACCGATTTTTCTAATATTAAAAAGGTTATCTGCGGCTTTTGCGTCCGTTTCCCGGGTGTGCCGCCCTTTCTTCCTTGTCAGCGTGCCGACCACTTGGACTGCGGATGGCAGAGACCATTGCGACTCTATAATCTCACATGTGCTATTTGCCTAGATTCCGAAAGTTCCCCCCGGATTGCTCTAGTTTGCGGTAAGTTGATGTCATCTATACAGGTATACGAGCTAACAGCTAAGGCCACGTATATTGTCAAAACTGCATTCTTGTATGGGTAAATTCATATGCAGGCTTGAATGATACTTACGTGGCTTGTCCAATGTGTAGAGATAGCAGGACTAAGTTTTGGCGATTGCTATCACCTGATCACGTCATTATGCCTGCACAACGACGTGTTGAGATTACATCGCCATGTCCAAGTTTATAGGTGTTTGTTAAGCTTATTCCGTTTTTGAATAATACATATCTGGAGTAGATCTGATTGGAGCAGGTGCTTAGTTGCGTGAGTAAACGTCAGCCTTGATCTGCTATGTAATAAGTAACTGAAGTCCGCATCCGGGCCCTTCCGTATTTTCCTCTTACCTGTAGCTGACAGCAGCCCTAGCTAGATGAGTACTAGCAAAGTATGGAGTTTTATTTAATCCTCCAAATCTGCTGGTTTTACGTTGAAACATTCATTCCAGACTTTTGAGCCTATAATGACGACTGCTACACCCCGTTACGGAGATTATCTACTTGTATTGTCTGGATTAATTGAGCATGCCCCATTCTTGGAAAATTGGAGAACTTTCAAAGACAGCGTGCGAAGAAATGCAGGGAAACCAGGATGGACGGATGTAGCCACGAAATCAGAGAAAGGGGTACGCCGAGCATGGTGTAATTTATCGAGAGAGAGTAATGCAAAAGCTGCATATGGTACGCATTACGACATGCAAGCGAAAGTATAACTACTCATAGCGCTCCAGGATACTACTCGAAAATGCCAGGGGTTAGAGTCTGCTTAATGAAGAGAACATTAAATGGCGGATATGTGCTACTTCACTACAACTACGCCGACTCCTATCCTGCTGCATTTCGAACTAGCCACTACCCTTGTGATCGCCAGGAAAACCATGGAAAGTTCATCCCCTATAGGGCACCTATACCTTTCCAAGCTATCTTGCCTGCTGTACCTCTACACATGATGCAACCAAGTGGTTATAGTTTCTTAACCCCTGCATTGTACCCTTATTACCTAGCGGGTATACCTTTATCTACCTTTTCTAGAGGTTATGTGAATAGGCCGCTCTGTTTGTTATAAAAGTGTATGGTACTTCAATATGTGTAGACGCATCCCTAGTTATTCACAAGATTTACCATGATAAGCATATCTACAATAGTATTATGGTGCTTTATCAAGGCCACAGTGAGGCAGGTGAAAACGTCAGCTCTTATCTCAGGTGATTCAACCGTGTAAGATTTGTGCAGATCCAACGATCAACACGAGAGTTGAAGTAGGACCACGACATGTTGTGACAGACCACATACCCATTCCTGTTGTTATAAGAACAGGGGCTGAACGAGTTAATATTATTGCCGTAAAACCAGCGCCGCGCGCCAGCGTTCCAGCAATGCTGCACTAATGAATGGTTGGATATGACGTAACAGGCATTTCGGAAGAGACATTAGTTATAACAACGAAGGCGTGAGGGAAGAGAGACTAGCAGATGGCTACCTTCACTAACTAAGCTAGGAGTGCAAAAGATCTAGCCAGCAAGGCAATGGCATGTGCGTTGGGGAGCATACACGCGCCTGAAGAACTACATGAAATAACGTATGCCTTCTTTTTTGACTGGTGGCCTTGTTGGCTGGTGGGCGAACCCTGGAGCTGCTTCTAAATAATCTTGAGCCAACCTGGTCGAGTGAGCAGAGAGCATACGGGATACTTCTGCAATATTAAACAAGCACGTCATCCATACTTTGCTGATTCTTGTCTCGATTAAGAAAAAAACAGACCCGCTATAACCTCCCCCCCTGTGTAGCGAAAAACCCCTGTGTCGCGATAAGAACAACAGGTACCTTGACATTGCACCAGCTTCAGCTCTTCTCTACAGCATAGTCGTGATTAAAAACCTCACAATGTCATTAATAGCTATTTCTCTTTATACCTAACTATTTATAGCTAAAAATTACACTAAATGCGTTGCTGCGTTGCTTAGTTTGCCTTAAACGCGCAGCATCTACACAACTTAGTATAAGCCATAACAGCGCAATCTTAGCCTCTTGCTTGCTAGAACTTAGCTTTATAGGTACTTAGGACCTTGTAGTATTATACATGCGATTATAAAGTAGCGTCTAGCAGTATACGCGCTGTAGAGCTAGTCTCCGCTACACAGGGAGGTACATGCACTGTACGACAGCGCCAAAAGCGGATACAATGATACTGTTATGTAATCTTCACCTGTGCAGCCTTGCGGACCGCTCGGATATAGATCGGTACATACCCTGGTAGCAACTATCGTACAGCTTACACTAGTTAGATCACTTTAGGCGGGTATGAATTGATCGCTAATATCTACATAGCTAAAAGACGAGGATTGTAATGTGCCAGCGATACTAAGATTGCATTACAAAGTCTAGCTCTCTCTAGTCTGCATTCGTGCCAGTGCACGCTCTGATGCCAGCCGAGAAGGGTGAGTCTCTGCCAGTGTAGTCTCCCGCACCTTAACGACGTGCTCTAGTAGTCCTACTGCCTCCTTCGTCTGCCCGTTGGCCCGGTACGCACCAGCAAGGGCGTGCTGCGATGC